GATGCCGGCCGTACGCCACACCTGGCCGCCGACCAGCTTGCCTCTGGCCGCCGCCGTGCCGGTTCGATCGGACCATCGCCGCCCACACGGCCGCCGACGGTTGTCGTCCGCCCGTCGCCCGTCGGCCGGCCAACCCCGTCGCCTGCCCGTCCGTCGTCCGCCCCACCCGTCGCTGTACGTCCGCACGAGCCACCCGACGCGCGTCCTGCAGTCGCCGCCGCTAGTGTCCGCCCCACCCCCGTCCGCCTCGCGTCGCCGCAAGGCTTGCCCTGACGCGTCGTCGTCCGCCCCTCCGTCCTCGTCGCCGGCGCATCGCCACCCGCCCGTCTTGCTTCTCAGATATGTTGCCGCCCCGTCGTTTTGTAAATAATAACTATAAATGGTGTTTTCAAAAGATGTTTGAAAAAAAAAACACCATAGTATGGTGTTTTTCTAAAAAACACAACAACAAACACCTCGATTACCAAACACACCCTTTGTTATTTACTAGAACAACACTCAGTAAATGAAACAAATAAGGGTCGGAGGGGAGAGAAGTGTAGAAGCTAGTAAGAGAAACTCTTAACTTCGTTTATATTTGTTGGACTTGGCTTGCTGAATGAACTCATATCGTTGGACTTTTATAGATCCCGCATAAGGCTTCTTCAAGCTACTATCTTGTTCAAAGTACACGACATATGTTAAATGAATTCCTTTCGAACAATTGGCCACCATTTTTTGACCAAACCAAAAACAATTTGTTAAAATAAGATAATTTTTTAAAATAAGAATGCATGGAGCTTATGGAGTTTGTTTAGATTATCCAACAAAGCTCTCACTTCATCCAATCTAACTCCAGTTATCATGCTCACAATGATAGGAAGAGTCAACATCAAAGAATCAATGGGCTTTTGATTTTTCTTGCATACATGACAACGGGCTTTTGATGTTTCATACCTTTGGCCTCTGAAGAAACCTCCTCTTCCTCCGCGTCAAGTGTGATCTTGCCTTTGGCTTTTATTTTTGTTTGATTGCTCTCTTTGATGATATTCTCCCCTTCAATGTCTACAACCACAACCTCTTCCATGACCTTGGGCTCCGCCTCGCTGACTTCTTGATTGTTCTTTATCTTCTGTTATGGTGAGTTTAACTCAATGAATTTGATGATATATATCAAAAGCAATACATTCGGCGACAACTAACGACTAGATATTCTTCATAACAAAATAGTGTATCTGAGAAGGAGAATCGAACCATATACTTGACATGATGAGGAGCATGCTAAAGAGCAAACACTTGCCGAAAGAACTTTGGGCGGAAGTGGTTGATTATGCTGTTTATTTTCTTAATTGGGGTCCCATCAAACCTCTTGAAGATGTCATAACATGAGAAGCATGGAGTGGCTAGAAGCCAAATGTTTCATGCTTAAAATTACTTGGAAGCGTTGCATATGCCGAAATTGCACAATAAAGGACAAAGCTCGATGACAAAAAAGAACAAATTTATCTTCATCGGGTATGAACTTATTCTAAAGCTTGCAAGTTATTTGATCCTAACAATCATACTTTGCATGTTAGTCGAGACACCCATTTTGATGAAGAAGGCACTTGGTAATGACATTCAAATGATCAAGGAAGTACACATGATCACTCAAACTTGCAGTCCCCTAGTCCTACAAGCATGCCAATATTGACCGCTTCCTCGACTTCATCGTCCATGTCTTCCGTTTCATCACCTCAAGAAACACTAACAACTTCATAAACTAGAAGCCTAGAGATCTATATGAAGCTACCGAAGAACTTCATCTTGTTTGTCTTCTTACCGAAAGTGAACTAATTCACTTCGAGGAGGCCATCATTGATGAAAGATGGAAAGTCGCCATGGATTAAGAAATGAAATCTATTGAGAAGAACAATACTTGAAAGCTTGTCACATTACCGAAAGGCCATGAACCCATTAGAATCAAATGGGTATATAAAGAAAAGAAGAACGCTAAAGGCAAAGTTGAGAAGTATAAAGCACAATTGGTGGCAAAAGACTTTAAGCAAAATGCTGGCTATGAAGAGCTATTTGCTCCTATCATTCGCATGAAAACTATTAGAATGATTATTTTCTTGGCTTCTCAAAATAAATGGAAACTTTAGCAAAATGGGTGTCAAATCGGCATTCTTAAATGACTTTGTAGATAAAGAAGTATACATACAACAACCAATGAGAAATAAGATAAAAAGACAAGAACATAAAGTGCTAAAATTAAATAAGTAACTTTATTGCTTAAAACAAGCTCCAAGGGCATGGAATGCTTGAGTAGATGCATATTTTAAGGACAATTGTTATGTTCAATGCTTTCATGAACACCAGCCCTTTACACTAAAGTAGAAAATAGATTTTTATCTTATATGTCCATATGTTGATGGCTTAATCTAATAGAGATTTATTTCTTATATATCCATATATTGATGACGCGATCTATTTGGATACAAATGATTGCTGACTTCAAACAAACAATGAATAAAGAAATTGAGATGACAGATATCAGACTTATGGCTTATTTCATCGGCATTGAAGTCAAACAAAATGATGAGGAGATATTTATTTTCCAAAAAGGCTATGTTTTCTCTTGATTCAAGATGGATAATTGCGAAGCAGTTGCTCCTACAGTGGACTGTGGAATCAAGTTGTCCAAGTATGACGAAGGCCAAGTTGTGGACTCTACTCTTTTCAAAAGCCTAGTGGGAAGCCTAAGATACTTAATATGCACAAGACCGGATATTCTATATGGTGTTGGACCTATAAGTCGATATATAGAGGAACCAAAAGCTATTCTCATGAATGCTGCAAAGAGGATACTTTGCTACATATAAGGTATAATACATGATGGCCTACTTTATTGTTTTTCACTTGACGTACAACTTGTAGGTTATTGCAATAGTGGTAGGGGTGGCGATCAAAGTGATAGAAGAAGCACCATTGGCTTTGTATATTATTTAGGAGATACTGCATTCACATGGCTCTTCAAGAAGCAACCCATAGTGACGCTCTCCACGTGTAAACAAAGTACGTGTGTGCTTCATTTTGCACTTGCCACGCTATTTACTATTTAGCTAAAAAGGATGCTCGAAGACATTTTTCCCTAAACAGAAGCTACAAAGCTACATGTGGATAACAAATCGGTGATTGTGTTGGCAAAGAATCCGATCTTCTACTATCAAAGAAGCAAGTACATTGATGTCCGGTTGCATTTCATTAGAGAACATGTCAAACACAGAGAGATTGAAGCGAATCTCTTCTACAAATTTAAGACAATGCTTAGCATGATAAATGGAGTTAAATTTTGATTAATGGAGAGCGTTGTTGGATAATCCAAACAAACCCCATAAATTCCATGTATTTTTATTATAACATATTATCTTTTTGTTTGATCAAAGGATGGTGGCCAATGTTTCTAGAGGAATGCATTTAATATATGTAGTGTGTGTTTTCAAAGATGTGCTTTGAACAAAATAGTACTGTGAAAAGCCTTGTGTAGGGTATATAAAAGCTCAACGATATGAGTTTATTTAGCAAGTCAAGTCCAAGAAATATAAACAAAATTAAGCGTTTCTCCTACTGGCTTCTACACTTCTCTCCTCACCAATGCTTATTTGTTTTCTTTACTGAGTGTTGTTCTACCAAATAACAAAGATAGTGAGAGGAAACTTGAGTGTTTCAAGAACCACTGTACTTCCCATTATTTTTTTCTCCAACAGAGTTACTTTTGCTTTTAAATGGAAAACAAATCTTTTGTGATATGGTGGAATCAGATAACTTCCCTTTGTATACAAGTCACATGTTAAGAGTATTGCCATTTATAAGTGTTTTTTGAAAATAGTAAAATCACGAACTTCCAAAATTTTGCTTGTTTTTAGCCCGTCAAAGAAAACAAGCTTGAATGTAACATGGCGAGACTTGGCTCAATTATGTGAGGATAGAGGGTGGATAACGGAATAGTCCAAACTAAAGCTATGTTTTCTTTTTCAAGGGGAAAAAACAACTATCACTATAGGGCTATTGGAAGATTGCTTAACAAGTATCATTCTCAAGGATAAGAGATTAAGAGACTGCAATGAAGCAGGATATAATTGTAGAGGATGTGAACATGCTCACTTTAACTTGATGTACCAAATAATAGACAAAACATTAATTCAATTCATGTGGAATCATCCGTGCACACATGGGTTTTATGACTGTTATTGAACTCTTTTTTTTAAAGCTGGCTCTTGATTTTTGCTCTCTAGCCAGCTCCGTTTGGCATGTGGGATATCATAGATTGGAGTAGCTTATGACAGTTGTCTTTTGTTAGACAAATGAGACAAGGTTAATCATAGAAATCTTGATTGATAATACAAACTCGTTTGTCTTTTCATTACCCAAACGCACGCTATCCTATGAGATGGGAATTAGTCTATTGACATGTAAAATATGGCAAACCTGGTATATATACTTGAGGATAAGGGAATTTTAATAGAAAAAACATAAGATTAATTACATTCTGGTACCTTGAGGCATGATATTATTATATGGATGACATTGGTGTTTGTGTATCTACACAGGTAACCCTAAGATTACTAATTGTAACTACATTAGTCACTTGTAGTCCAGATGAAAAGCAACTCTCAGGTTTACCCATGTAATTACAATTAATAATTAGGGAGTTACCCATGTAGATACAAAGATTCCGGGGTCACCTGTATAACTACATCATACCTCAGGGTCACGGGTTGTAATTATCATTCTATTTATTTGGAAATAATTTTTTAACCCTTTCTTCGCACCCAGGAGTTTTTCTTTTTCAATTTGTTTGTGCGTGTGCATGGTGGGTGGGTGCGAGTTTTGATG